GCGGCTAAAGGGCTGACGGCGGGCCGGCGTCCTGGACGCCGGACCGCAAAAGGCGTTAAAGCGGCGAGGCCGCTAGGGCAAGCGCAGGCGCGGCAACGCGGCTAAAGGGCTGGCGGCGGGCCGGTGTCCTGGACGCCGGACCGCAAAAGGCGTTAAAGCGGCGAGGCCGCTAGGGCAAGCGCAGGCAGGCGCGGCAACGCGGCTAAAGGGCTGACGGCGGGCCGGCGTCCTGGACGCCGGACCGCAAAAGGCGTTAAAGCTGCGAGGCCGCTAGGACAGGCGCAGGCGCGGCAACGATCTTCCTCGCGGCAGGCAGCGCTATGCTTTTCAACCTTCTCGCCACATTCTATTCGACTCCAAGCCAGACCTTCTGAACGCATTCCCATCTTTAGAATTATCTTTAAATCTACTAGCCCAGCGGGCGTCCGGGACGCCCGCGTCAAGAGGCTAGTAAACATACATTAATCATGCAAGCTAGTACAACGACAAAGCTAGGACTGAACTCGCTACAATTTGAATTTTGGTTTATGACGACTGCAAATGAAGACGGACAAAGGGAATGGGGGTCGTGTGCACAACTCGGATACGTTCCACGCATTCACAGGCCCATACGTGCACTCGATGCGGTCGCGTTCGTCTCGCACTCGCGGGTGCTCGAACCTGTCGTTTAAATAAAGCGCCGCCGCGCTTCGGAGCTGAAATTCATTGGGGAAGGGCGTGTTACCGTTTCCGTGGACCACCACGCTAAACACGTGAGCAGCTGCTGCCTCACCTCCTACTCCTCCAGCAGCGCGCGGCAGCACTCTCGACAAGCGTATCCTATGTAAACACGTCGCCTCCAACCCAGAGTCAATTACAATTTGGGAACTCGTCTGCAATACAAGTTCACAAAATGAAGATTTGGGAATCACGCATGACAAGTTAGTGCCTGCAGGTCAGCAAGGACAGCCGCATCAGAAAGCCATTTTCTTATTGTTTTTACAGCATTATAGGACAGGTGCCAAAAGACGACTAGCACGTAGAAGAAATGGCAGTCAACATAGAGATGCACACTGAACCTACACGTGCTCCTACCTGTAATTGCATAAAATCCGCTTTGCTTATAACTCTGGGGCGGGGACGGTTTTGCTCAGGATAAAGCGCCGCGCGCCGCGGTTCCAAGTCCCTGTCTGACGGCGATCCAATGTATATCAATTGCAACCATGACTGAGTCTTTCTGCTGGAAAGAATGGGCTTTGTCATGGTAAATTTCTCTGTTGCTACAAAAGCCTGTATTGCAGGAGCAGCAAAAGGGGCTTAGATTTTTACCACCCGTATCGTATCGCAGTGACCTTTGACTCCTGTCAGGGTGGCGTTAGAACAGATTTAGCCTCTGCCAATACCTGCTGGGCGTTTCAGATGCAGGATAGGCATGACAAAGCCTCTGCGGAAGGTGTTACATCACTGGAGAATGCATTACAGGCAACGCGTACGCGGGTCCTCACATACAACATATTCATATACAATTGCGCACTACAAACTTGCCCAATCTTCCAGCCCCAGGCATATTTGCATTTGATAAAACAACATTTCCGACAACGCGGCCAGCCACTTTATCAGCCCGGCTCTGGTAATGGTCTACCACCAGGTCCACCTTTCCGCAGGGCAATTTTCTTCCCTCGCGGATTAAACTCTCCTCCACGTGCCTATACAGGTCTTCTACCGTCCAGTCTTTCCATTGAGTGGAAGGCACCACCATTGGTTCATCGCCGGTAAATGACCGCCGGATTTCCAGCGAGTCCCGCTCGTGAAATTATGCACCATTGCAAATATTATGTCCTCTGGGTCTGCACGAGTGCAGATGTCTGTCATGCTGTTTTTGCATGACCCAAAACCTGTGCCATAGTGCAAGCCCTATTAACATCACAAATTTTTAGAAGGTTTCGCAATGGTGCGAATGCCTAATCCGGATTACAAATTTCCTCTTTCAGTGTTGACAACAAGTGGGCAACTTTTAGTGTCCATGGTGGATGAGGACTAATATAATATGCGCATCACAAGTTTGCATTCATCCTCCCGACCCAGATATTGATATTTATTTGCATTGGATAGAAGTTCACCTGTCTCCAGACGGGGAGGCGCGCTGATTGATGTACGTGGAGCGGCACCAGGAATCTGCTCTTCCGCCCTGTTGGTACCTGATCCATGATGTGATTTGGGTAGAATTTGCTATATCGCGGTGGCGCAAACGCAAACTTCTTCCCAAATCCCCAGAGCGCTGGCGCCCCTCGACGGCTGCCAGCTTTACTTCGTATGTTCTCAAAAGGTCACACCCTTCACCGTGGTGGAACTACGGCTCTGTATAAGTAAAACCGTATCTGCGAGCGCTGCTTCGCAGCGTCTTGCGTACTACTAGATACAGCAGCGAGGCGCACAGCAGGGACCGCGCCGCGACGTCCGCGCCACCGTGCGGTGGCAGCGTGCGTCAGCATAAGCAGATCAAAACATGCAAAGCGCACCCCGTTCACAGCCTCACATCCTAGATCCTTACTAGCCCGCCGGAGTGCGCACAGAGGTGCATCATCCAGCGAGGGTTCCGGCTGAAGCAGCGGAACAGGCGGTGCCTGCCGGTATGGGACGGCAACACGGAATGGCGTGCCTCGTTGAACTTTCGTTCAGATTTGGGCCGTACGACCCGCGCTCCGGTCGCCCAGGACGTGCCTGCATTAGCGACCAGCGTCATCAGCTTCGCCATATCGGTGCGTGACTTTAACGTGCGCGCGCGTGGCAGTCGCGGGAGGTTAGGCCCCTCCCCACCTGCTCTCGCTGACCGTCCGCTTGGGCATCGGTCACGGGCAAATTCCGATGGTTGTCGGAATTCTTTGTACAAAAATGGGACCACAGAGGTGGTTAGCCCATTCCGGCCCTCACGAGGTTCGCGCTGGTGCTGCGCGACCTAGTCCTATTTGTGATGCCTAGAATGCGATGTCTGGAGTGCGTTGCTTAGATTGAGAATGAATGAGGTACCTTGTGGGCGGCAGGAGCGCACGGCGCACGATTCGCTGATTGATGTGCGTGGAGCGGCACCAGGAATCTGTTCTTCTTCCAGGCGTCGTCCGGAACGAGCAGGACCGCTTCGTGCTATCAACTCCAAAAATGTCTGGGTCTGGAAGATTGCAAGGTTTGTCATGCAAATTTTGCATGACCCGTGATGTCTCTGATGTATGCACCAGCATCACAAATTTTTTGCGGGCATCTTGATGCCTATCCCGCATGAGAAATCCCTTCTCCGCGGAGCAAAAACTGGGCGCCTCTTGCTGCTCATGCAATACAGATTTTTTTGGCTTCCAAAAATAGCATCACAAGTTGCATTCTTCCAGACCCAGACATTTTTAGATTTGATACGTGCGCGACTGCTACGACGTTTTTGCGCGGCCGCATCCGCAAAAGTCGCGTGGAATTGCAGATATGGATTGCAAAAATGTCTGGGTCTGGAAACTTGTAATGCTAAAAGTGAATGGGAGACGTACTGCAATACGCAGCTATGCATGACAATTTTTTTGGCTCCCATGTCTTACGTATTCTTCATGGCAAACTGCGTTTTTGCATGACAGGCAAGAGGGCCTTTTCGTGCCTATGCAACACAGATTCTCGAGTCATGCCAGACAAGCATGACAAACTTGCATTCTTCCAGACCCAGACATTTTTGCATTTGATAGCAGAAGCGCGCCGACCACAAGCGCAACTACAGGCACCACGCCGGCAAGAAAAGACGGTTTTTTTGTACCCAACATGAACATTTTGATTTTTTTGCTTCTGATTGTGCCTCCTTCTTCTAGGGAACAGCAGGAAGTAACTGGAAGACGATAGATTGTCTTTGTAACTGTAGTAGGAGCCACCGCGGGAGCCAAAATTATAGAAAAACAGGATAGTCTGAATCTTTATCTTATCAGACTGCTGCTATCGTACAGGAAACGAGAGATGTGGTCTTTGTTTTCTCAGATATTCAATCTCATACAGAAAGCTACGAAGTAAAACTAAAAGTAGTGCGTGCGTCGTGGTGTCTCAGTTGCAGTTGGGTGCCAGCGGATCGAAATTATGTAAATAACAAGCCCCTGCTCCTGTTGCCTTTAACTTTATAACTCCTATTGCTGAGCAGGGGCAGTTAAAATTTTGCAGCAGGGGGGAAAATCGCCCAAGCCGAAAAGTTTTTCACACTTTTCAAACTTTTTCAAGCTGTTGCGATTTGCGAAATCGCTCACCGCCCAACGGCCAACGGCAACCGGCCACATCGCAAACGGCCAACGGCCAACGGCCAAATCGCAAACGGCCAAATCGCAAACGGCCAACGGCCAGCGGCCAAATCGCAAACGGCCAACGGCCAAATCGCAAACGGCCAAATCGCAAACGGCCAAATGGCAAACGGCCAACGTCCAACGTCCAAATCGCAAACGGCCAACGGCCAAATGGCAAGCGGCCAAATCGCAAACGGCCAACGGCCAACGGCCAGCGAACGGCCAACGGCCAGCGAACGGCCAGCGGCCAAATCGCAAACGGCCAGCGGCCACGCCGCAACTCGCAAAATATTTTGCAACTTCAAATATTCTGTGGCTTCAAAGATTTTGCGATCAAAATACTTCGCAAGTCCAAATATTTTGCAACGCAAGATATTTCTCAACCCAAAATATTTTGCAACTCCAAATATTTTGCAGCTTCAAATATTTTGCGACTCGAAATATTTCGCAAGTCCAAAAATTCCGCAATTCCAAAAATTCCGCAAGTCCAAAAATTTCGCAAGTCCAAATATTTTGCGCCGCAAAATATTTTGCGGTCCGAAATGTTTCGCGACCCAAAAAGTTTTGCAATCCCCGAGAAATATTTGCATCAGGAGAAAATATTTTGCAACAAACTCCCGAAAGCCTGTCTCCCCGGTTTCACAGCTTTGAAAGCGAAGACCGCGAAGAGGGCGGGGAGCATGGGGGGAGTGAAGAGCACGGGGAAGGCGAAAAGCACGGGAAAAACGGGAAGAACCGGAAAGGCGGGGCGGAAAGCTAGCAAGCGGCACCCACGGGGAAAGCGGGAAGCACGGGGAAGGCGGGAAGCACGGGGAAGGCGGGGAGCACGGGGAACGCGGGAAGCACGGGGAACGCGGGAAGCACGGGGAAAGCGGGAAGCACGGGGAACGCGGGAAGCACGGGGAGAGCGGGAAGCACGGGGAAAGCGAGGGAGAAGCACGGGGAAAGCGGGAAGCACGAGGAAAGCGGGAAGCAAGGGGACAGCGGGAAGCACGGGGAAAGCGGGAAGCACGGGGAGCGCTGGAAGCAGGGGGAAAACGGCAAGCGCGGGGAAAGCGGGAAGCACGGCGGCAGCGGGATGCACGGCGGAAGCGGGAAGCACGGGGAAAGCGGGGGGCACGGGGGAAGCGGGAAGCACGGGGAAAGCGGGAGGCACGGGGAAAGCGGGAAGCATAGGGAAAGCGGGAAGCATAGGGAAAGCGGGAAGCATAGGGAAAGCGGGAAGCATAGGGAAAGCGGGGAGCACGGGAAAAACGGGAAGCACGAGAAAGGTGGGAGGCACGGGGAAGGCGGGAAGAACGGGGGAAGCGGGAAACACGGGGAAAGCGGGAAGCACGGGAAACCGGGAAACACGGGGATAGCGGGATGGAAGCACGGGCGGGGGGCGCAAAGAAGGCGGGGGGCACGGGACGGGGAACGCCGCCGGCGGCCAAGCCCCAGGCGAGCAGCTGCCCACCACCCTCCCCCGGCGCCCTCCCTCTGTTCGCGAAGGGCAAGCCGCGCCCCGGCGCCAGGTTTGCAGGCGGGCAGCTGCCCACCACCCTCCCCCGGCGCCCTCCCTCTCTCTGCTCACGAGGAGACCGGCAGAGGGCGCCACCGTCCGCCGTCTCTGTCTTGGGCGGTGCGTGCAAGGGAAGCAGGCGGGGGCGGAGCAGATTACTGCGTGCGAGCTAACGCGGGGGGCGCCGCTGTTGTCCGGGGGTGCTGGGGGAGGGTGGTGGGCCCCTGCGCCTGGGGGGCAGCCAATGAATGCCCCGCCCCGGCGCCCATGCTGCCTCCATCCACGCGCGCGACAGGGGCCCCCGCTCTGCAAGCCTGCCTGCGCGCGGGGGAAGGCCGCGGGGGGCACAAAGGGGCGCAGGGGCAACCGGGGCACAAAGGCAAGCGGCACGAGCGGGCCACGCCGCAAACGCGCGGGCATGGCGTCACGCGCCAACGCCTCGCATGGCGCGGGCTGTTCCCCTGCTTCCTTCCCCCGTCCACTGGCGCCCGCCCGCTGCCGCGCTTTGCGTTGTTGCTTGGGCCTACGGCTTGCCGCCACGCAAATGCGCGCCCCATGCGGGTGGGGTCCTCGCGCTCGCGCAGAGACTGGAACCACGGGCGCCATGGCGCTCCGCCTTCGTTCTTTCAGCAAGAAGCGGCGCAGATGCCTGGCCCCGCCCTGCATCATAAACAAGGTCCGAGCACGGGGGCTGGGGCCCCCGTGCGGAGACCTTGCATCTTTGGAGGGTATTGGGCGGCCCGGGCAGTTTCCGAGGCCGGGCGGGCTTGCTCCTCGCGACATTTGAGCGCAGCGGCCGCAACGGGGACGCGCGTCGCGAAGTATACAAATGGCCACTGATTGCTGCGCCACCCCCAGCGGCCTACCACATAGGGCGCCCAAGGGGTGGCGCGTTCCCTTGCATGCACATGCAGGACTTCGGCACCGGCCGGACCCCTGCAAGCTGATGGCAGGCGTTTGGAAGTCGGCGCCGGACCAATGGGCGCCGCTGCCTGGCGGCCTTACTTGTAGTTGTGGAGAGAGCGAAGCTGCTGGCGGCCTAACTTCTAAAAGCCGGCGGCGCGCCTGCGGAAGGAAGCTGCCCCCAGCCTCACGGAAGTCATCGCCCGGCTTTTGGTCCATAGGCCTGGATCTTACTTACTTAGGAAGCCCGCACCGGCCGGAAAGGCAGCGAAATTCTCTACCACGAGAAACAGCCCGGCAAGGCTGGGCCGCTTTGCTTGTTTCTGACTGGATGGCTTGCGAAAAGTGTCCGCGCGACGCAGCTTGCTTCCTCGGCGCTTTTTAACCACGAGCGACGTCCCGGCCTGCCTGGGCCTTTTCGTGTGTTTCTGGTTTGCGAAATTGGCCGCGCGTGCGCCGCAGCTTTCTCGGCCTTTCTCTGCCACAAGAAACAACCCGACCAGATTGGGCCTCTTTGCGTGCTGCGTGCGTGCCGGTTTGCGAAATGGTGGCTGGGTGCCGCGCGGCGCAGCTCCCTCGGCACTTTTTTACCACAGGAAACCGCCCGGCCAGACTGGACCTCTTTGCGTGCTTCTGGTTTGCGAAAGTGGTCGCGCGGCGCAGCTTCCTCGGCATTTTCCTAGCACGAGAAACAACCCGGCCAGACTGGGCCTGCTTGCGTGTATGTTGTCGGTTTGCGGAAAGTGCTCGCGCGACGCAGCTCTTCCGGCACTTTTTTACCAACCACGAGAAACAGCCCGGCCAGCCTGGGCCTTTTTGTTTGTTTCTGGTTTGCGAAAAGTGTCCGCGCGACGCAACACGCTTGGCACTTTTTTACAACGGGAAACAGCCTCGCCAGGCTGGACCTTTTTGCGTGTTGTCGGTTTGCGAAAAGTGCCCAAGCGAGGCGGTTTTTCCGGCACTTTTTTATCATGGGGAACAGCCTCACCAGACTCGGCCCGTTTGCGTGTTCTCGGTTTGCGAAAAGTGCCCGCGCGACGCAGTTGGCCCGGCACTTTTTTACCACGAGAAACAGCCCGCCAGTCGGGGCCTCTTTGCGTCGTGTCGGTTTGCGAAAAGTGCCCGCGCGGCGCAGTTTGTCCGGCACTTTTTTACCACGAGAAACAGCCCCGCCAGACTGGGCCTCTTACTTTGCGTGTTGTCGGTTTGCGAAAATTGCCCGCGTGGCGCAGTTTGCCCGGCACTTTTTTACCACGGGAGAAAGCCTCGCCAGACTGGGCCCTTTTGCGTGTTGTCGGTTTGCGAAAAGTGCCCGCGCGGCGCAGTTTGCCCGGCACTTTTTTACCACGAGAAGCAAACAGCCGTGCCAGGCGGGGCCTTTTTGCGTGTTGTCGGTTTGCGAAAAGTTCCCGCGCGACGCAGTTTGTGCGGCACTTTTTTACCATGAGAAACAGCCTCGCCAGACTGGGCCTCTTTGCGTGTTGTCGGTTTGCGAAAAATGCCCGCGCGACGCAGTTTGTCCGGAATTTTTTTACCGCGGGAAACTGCCTCGCCAGACTGGGCCTCTTTGTTTTCGTGGTGTCGGTTTGCGAAAAGTGCCCGCGCGACGCAGTTTGCCCGCCACTTTTTTACCACGAGAAACAGCCGCGCCAGACTGGGCCTCTTTGCGCGTTGTCGGCTTGCGAAAAATGCCCGCGCGTCGCAGTTTGCCCGCCACTTTTTTACCACGAGAAACAGCCGCGCCGGACTGGAACGCTTTGCGCGTTGTCGGTTTGCGAAAAGTTCCCGCGCGACGCAGTTTGTCCGGCACTTTTTTACCACGGGAAACAGCCTCGCCAGACTGGGCCTCTTTGCGTGTTGTCGGTTTGCGAAAAGTGCCCGCGCGGCGCAGTTTGTCCGGCACTTTTTTACCACGGGAAACAGCCTCGCCAGACTGGGCCTTTTTGCGTGTTGTCGGTTTGCGAAAAGTGCCCGCGCGACGCAGTTTGCCCGGCACTTTTTTACCACGGGAAACAGCCTCGCCAGACTGGGCCTTTTTGCGTGTTGTCGGTTTGCGAAAAGTGCCCGCGCGACGCAGTTTGCCCGGCACTTTTTTACCACGAGCCACAGCCGCGCTAGACGGGGCCCTTTTGCGTGTTGTCGGTTTGCGAAAAGTGCCCGCGCGACGCAGTTTGCCCGGCACTTTTTTACCACGAGAAACAACCGGGACCCTTTTGCGTGTTGTCGGTTTGCGAAAAGTGCCCGCGCGACGCAGTTTGCCCGGCACTTTTTTACCACGAGCCACAGCCGCGCTAGACGGGGCCTTTTTGCGTGTTGTCGGTTTGCGAAAAGTGCCCGCGCGACGCAGTCTGTCCGGCACTTTTTTACCACGAGAAACAACCCGCCAGACGGGGCCCCTTACTTTGCGTGTTGTCGGTTTGCGAAAAGTGCTCGCGCGACGCAGTTTGCCCGGCATTTTATTACCACGAGAAACAGCCTTGCCAGACTGGGCCTCTTTGCGTGGTGTCGGTTTGCGAAATGTGCCCGCGCGGCGCAGTTTGCCCGGCACTTTTTTACCACGAGAAACAGCCTCGCCAGACTGGGCCTTTTTGCGTGTTGTCGGTTTGCGAAAAGTGCCCGCGCGCAGAATTTTGCCCGGCACTTTTTTACCACGGGGAACAGCCTCGCCAGACTGGGCCTCTTTGCGTGTTGTTGGTTTGCGAAAAGTGCCCGCGCGCAGAATTTTGCCCGGCACTTTGTTACCACGGGAAACAGCCTCGCCAGACTGGGCCCCCTTGCGTGGCGTCAGTCGGTTTGCGAAAAGTGCCCGCGCGACGCAGTTTGCCCGGCACTTTTTTACCACGGGAGACAGCCTCACCAGACTGGGCCTCTTTGCGCGTTGTCGGTTTGCGAAAAGTTCCCGCGCGACGCAGTTTGTCCGGCACTTTTTTACCACGGGAGACAACCGCACCAGACTGGGCCGCTTTGCGTGTTGTCGGTTTGCGAAAAGTGCCCGCGCGGCGCAGTTTGTCCGGCACTTTTTTACCACGGGAAACAGCCTCAGCAGACTGGGCCCCGCCTCTTTGCGTGTTGTCGGTTTGCGAAAAGTGCCCGCGCGACGCAGTTCGTCCGGCACTTTTTTACCACGAGAAACAGCCGCGCCAGCCTGGGCCTCTTTGCGTGTTGTCGGTTTGCGAAAAGTTCCCGCGCGGCGCAGTTTGCCCGGCACTTTTTTACCACGAGAAACAACCCGCCAGACCGGACCTCTTTGCGTGTTGCCGGTTTGCGAAAAGTGCCCGCGCGACGCAGTTGCCCCGGCACTTTTTTACCACCCGAAACAGCTTCGCCAGCCTGGACCTCTTTGCGTGTTGTCGGTTTGCGAAAAGTGCCCGCGCGACGCAGTTTGCCCGGTACTTTTTTACCACGAGAAACAGCCCGCCAGGCGGGGTCTTTTTGCGTGTTGTCGGTTTGCGAAAAGTGCCCGCGCAACGCAGTTTGCCCGGCGCTTTTTTACCACAGGAAACAGCCTCGCCAGACTGGGCCTTTTTGCGTGGTGTCGGTTTGCGAAAAGTGCCCGCGCGACGCAGTTTGCCCGGCACTTTGTTACCAACCACGGGAAACAGCCCCGCCAGACTGGGCCTTCTTGCGTGGTGTCGGTTTACGAAAAGTGCCCGCGCGACGCAGTTCGCCCGGCACTTTTTTACCATCCACGGGTAACAGTCTCGCCAGACTGGGCCTTTTTGCCTGCGTTTTGTCGGTTTGCGAAAAATGCCCGCGCGCCGCAGTTTGCCCGGCACTTTTTTACCACGAGCAACAGCCTCGCCAGACTGGGCCTTTCTGCGTGTTGTCGGTCTGCGAAAAGTGCCCGCGCGACGCAGTTTGCCCGGCACTTTTTTACCACGGGAAACAGCCTCGCCAGACTGGGCCTCTTTGTTTGTTGTCGGTTTGCGAAAAATGCCCGCGCGGCGCAGTTTGCCCGGCACTGTTTTACCACGAGAGACAGCCTCGCCAGATTGGGCCGCTTTGTTTGCGTGTTTCTGTTTTGCGAAAGTGGTCGCGCGACGCAGCTTGCTCGGCATTTTTCTACAACGAGAAGCAGCCCGGCCAGCCTGGGCCTTTTTGCGTGTTACCGGTTTGCGAAAAGTGCCCGCGCGGCGCAGTTTTTCCGGCACTTTTTTACCACGGGAAACAGCCTCACCAGACTGGGCCCCTTTGCGCGTTTCTGTTTTCTTTGCGAAGGTGGTCGCGCGAAGCAGCTTCCTCGGCATTTTTCTACCACGAGAAACAATCCGGCCGGACTGGGCCCCATTGCGTGTTTCTGGTTTGCGAAAAATGTCCGCGCGGCGCACCTTTTCCGGCACTTTTTCACCACGAGAAACAACCCGGCCAGGCTGGGCCTTCTTGCGTGTTTCCGGTGTGTGAAAAGTGTCCGCGCGGCGCAACCTTCTCGGCACTTTTCATTCTACCACGAGAAACAACCCGGCCAGGCCGGGCCTTTTTGCATGTGTCTGGTTTGCGAAAAGTGCCCGCGCGCCGCGGCTTTCTCACGAATTTCCTTCCGCGAGAAACAGCCCGGCAAGACTGGTTCTCTCCAGTGCCCTTCTCTGGTTTGCGAACTGCGTCCGCCCGGCGCAGTTTTTTCGGCACTTTTTTACCACGAGAAGCCGCCCGGCCCAGCTGCGCAGGCCAGGCCCTTGGGAAGTAGAGGCCGCCGTGCTTTGCGTTTTATGGTCGTCGTGGTTCTTTGTGTTTGATGATCAAGAGCTGCGCGAGCTGGAAGGGGACTGGAAGCATCCAACTTGTGATGGATCATGCAAAAGATGGATCATGCAAAATATGCATGACAAAAGTGGGCTTATACAAAACACGCGCGACAAAGTGGATCATGCAAGACATGGGCGGCAAAGTAGTGCGCATCATAGTGGATCATGCAAAATATGCATGACAAAGTTGGGCGCTTCCAGACCCAGACAGATTCGCAAATGATATCGCATCGGCTGGAGTCGGGTAGAGTCGGGCAAGGTCGCTTTGCCTTTCCCGAGCTATTTACCCGACTTTACCCGACTCAAAACCTACCCTGGACCCGACTTTTACCCGACTCCTCACCCGACTCCACAGCTCGTGTTTGTTTTTTTCCCCGAGCTGTATCGGTCGGCTGAGGAGTCGGGTTGAGTCGGTTCCTGGGTCGGTTCCTGGGTAGGCTGTACCCCCCCCCCTCTTAAATCCACTGTCCCCTCGTGTTACCTACCCCGGAACCTACCCTGGAACCTACCCTGGAACCAGGGTAGGAATGCCAATTTTGGCTAGTTGCTGCAGTTTCAATAGTAATTTTTTCCCTTGCCCACCCTCTGGCGATTTTCCTTCCCCCCTGTCCACTCGTTCACCCTCCCACTACGCGACATAAGCTGCGGCCTTGTAGTTCCTATATGTAATGCTGAAAAGTCAACCGAAGTTGCGTCCTCCTCTAACTGCTCTAGTTTTTCTTTGTTGGTGTCCAAGGTATTTCTTGACCGCCTGCAGAAGGATTTGTTTCGCCTGCTGATCTCGCGACACTGCTGGTGTTCGAAATCCCATATCTTTTTGCATTTTTCGGATCATCTTAGTATTCAACCGATACGGAATTATTACTTTTTCGGGAGGACGCGATCTTTATCACGACAGGCAACTACGTTCGCGAGACGTGAAAGCTTACTTTCGTTTGATCGGAGAAGCGATTTCGTGTGATCTCTGCAGGCTAGCGCCCTTTATTTTGGGTCCGGGTCGATCGTTTGAGTACATTCTTTCACTCTGATCTGCTCCTGACCTCGCAATCGAGGAGGCCACACATGCAGAAAATGATCTTGATCATGTTTCATGATCACGACAAGGAGGATTTTTTATTAGTATTTCGTCTAAAACAGGAAGCAACTCCTGATCACTTCGACGGAAAATGAAAAATCGGAACAACAAGCAAAAATGGGGAAATATTAAAAGCCAAGATCACAATAGACATCCACCTGCAACTCACAATCTAGATCATGATTTTTACATGGTTCCCAGCACCCCAGAGTTTTCTAGTTGCTCTTTTTTGAATTTTGCTTTCATGCGCACATTCATTTTCAACTCTTCTACCTCCTTATCAAAGGCAAAAATCCCCCCTCTCCATATCAAAACGGAACTTCTGGCGCTGGATTTGTGTACACAAATCAGCTCTGTATTGCAGGAAGGCACTGCGGCCAGATTCCCAGCCTAAATGGCGGCGCTTCGGTCTAGTTGTTCAGCATTGCAAATGGCTGCCCTTTAGGCCCAAGAGCATGGCAAATCGCTTCCATAGTGGGACGGAAGCTTCTGCCCTTGTCTTCTTGCAAGACAAATGTGATTTGTGCCCACAAATCAGCAACGCAAATTTTCGGAAACATACCTTTTCAATGACAATGTGGGGAGGGGGAGTTTTTCCTTTTAATATTCCTGTTTCAGCTGTTTGATCAATGCCTTTTCCTGGTTTTTCTTCTCCTTCGCGGTTAATGGCTTGTTGTATCCGAGTGCACGACTCGTCTCGTCCCCATCTCTCTTTATTTGTAACATGTTGGCGTGAACACCTATACAAGCGTCAGCAAGAATATCATGCAGGTTTTGCATGACAAACTACCTGCACAGGATAATAACTTGTAGTGCTACTTGGGCACCTGCTGCCAGTACTGGTCATGCAAGCAGCGCCAACGGGCAAAGGGTGGATCTGCATCTGCTTGGATTTGGTATAATTTTGCATGACAAACGAGTGGCAGGGGGAGTTGTGCACAACTTTGATATGCTGACCGAGGAGGACGGTGCTGATGTTGCCGGAGACGAAGAGCAACTGGTGAGCAGACGAGGGACCGAGGCCGGCATCGCCAGTGCTTGCACATCAGGCGAGGGTCGTGCGGTAGTTCTACTTGTTGATAGTACCGGTTGACTTCTATTCCATGCGCCCCCGGAAGATGATGAAGATGCTAATGCGTCACCAAGAGGAGCAGTAGTACCGTGGTTGGGATCATCATGAAGATGTTGGTACTTCTCAATTTCGGCCTCGCAGTCTTGTTTCTTCTTCTTCGTGCCCTCGAGTTTCCTCCGTAAGGTTTCCAGATTGGCTTTCGCTTGCTGCAACTCCGCCGCTTTTCTCGCTTCCTGTTGCAAAACCGTGTCGAACTCAACAGACAACGCTTCTAACCTTATTGTGACGAAAAATCCCCCCTCCCCATATCAAAAAGGCATCACTCCGAAAATTTGTGATGCAGATTTGTGGTCACAAATCAGCTCTGTCGTGCAAGAAGGCAAGCATTGTTGTGTGCGCTGCATTGTGGATGCGGTTTCTCATGCGATGTTGGGCCTACAGGGCGGGCGTCTCTCATGCTAAACAGCTAGACGCTTACACTCCTAAACAGTCTGAGGATCTGGCTGCAGTCCTATAATATTGCAAGACAACGTCATTTGTGTACGCAAATCCAGCATGATCAGAACTTTCGTCTTGATATGGGGAGCGGGAGGGGGGATTTTTCACTTTGATAAACCTGTGCAGGCAATCCCGCTTCAGCGACTGCACGTCTTGCTCCTTTTTGTCCAGTATGAATTGCAAAAGCATCGCACTCGTATAAATGCATTACAAATTCCCTCAGCATGAGAAATAAAATTTGTAATGCGGATTTTCCTTAAGAAAAGGATTTGTAATGCAAGACTTGCATTTATACGAGTGCGATACTTTTGCACAGGATATCCAGTAAATCCTCGAAATACAGCCGTTGCTCCTCCATCTGCCGTGTGAGCACCTGGTTAAACTCTATCACCGCGTTTTCTTGCTTCTTCTTGGCGTATGGGAGTGTCAGAATTGAAATCGACAAAGTTGAAACAACTTGTACTTAATGCATGAAATCGATACAACCAGTTGGAAGCCAAATTTCCGAGCGCCGCATGACAAATTTCGGCACCGTCTAAATCCACTTTGTGATGCTGTTTAGGGACAGAAGGCGTCTCTTGTCATGCTACTTTAGCAGCTCTATCGCAGACCCCAATTAGGCTGACAGTCGGCCTCACTTGCCATCCCTACAAGAGGTGCACTTCATGCATTGCAGTTTATACATCAGAAAATATTTCAACTTTGTCGATTTCGATCCTGACAGTCCCATATTGCGTGCTTGCTCTTCAAACCTTTCATCTTCTTCCCTGGTGCTAGGTCCTCTTTATTCATCAGAGTCGAGCTGCTTTGCTGCTGCTGCTGTTCCACTCTCCTGTGTCGGCTGTTTTCCATTTTCCCGAACGCTGGTACGAGGACCTCACTGTCCTCCACAGGTGGAGCCTCCTCACACACGGCGCCAGCGTCATGGTCCAGAAGAAAATCATGCGCGAACTCGTTGTTGCTGTAGTCAAAGACTTATGAAACCCAAAAGCATCGCACTCGTATAAATCGCATGACAAAAAATTTGCTCAGCATGAGAAAAGAAAATAATTTGCAATGCGGATTTACGTTAACAAAAGGATTTGTATATGCATGATTGCAATACGAGTACGATACTTTTGCACAGGATAAGACCTTTTGCGTGGCGTGGTCCAGCGCGTAGCAGTGCCCCGGGTTGGTTTCGAAATGAAACAGCGCGTGGGGGAGACAGCCAGTGAAACCGCAAATGAGGCACATACGAAGCGGCGTTATCAGGTAGAAGTTTTCCGGGTCGGGTGTCGCGGTGTTGCAGTAGAATTCGCACAACTCGATCTCGTATCAACTGCAAAAATGTAGTCTGGGTCTGGAAGAGTGCCAGATTTGTCACGCAGGTTTTCCATGACCCATGAGGTCTGGTATGTACGACACAGCATGGCAGACTCTGTGACTGTTCTATCATGCCTATCCTGCATGAGAAACTGCCTCTCGATTAGGAGGTCAAAAGTGGAGAGCTTTTGGTAATGATGCAACACAGATTTTTACCTGATTCAGATTTAGCATGACAAGTTGCTTTGTTCCAGACCCAGACATATTTGCATTCCATATCTCGCAGCCCGTGCTGGTGAAGTGTTGGACAGACATGGGTGCGGGATATTGTTGGAAGCGGCACACTATCGAATGCAAATATGCCTGGGCCTGGAAGAAAGCGATATTTGTCTTGCTCGGCTAGCAAGCCTCTCAAGTCTGTCATGCACGTTATTCAAAAGCCCCATCTTTCTGTGATGCAGGCGCGACGCAGTTTGTCGTGCAGAATAGGCAACACCTAGAAGGAGCTCAGAAGCTTGTCATGCTGAGCCATCACTTTATGGGTTCCCCATGCTTTGCTACGGCTACGCCACTCAGCATTACAAGTTTCCAGACCCAGACATATTTGCAATGCATACACACCGGGCAGGTTTGGTCCAGCCACCGCAACAGGCACATGGAGTGAAAGGAATGCCCGCAGAGTAGAGTGACACGCACGCCGCCCCCCAAGTCCGAAATTTCGTCCGAGGTTTATGAAATGCAATCATCTACTGTGTCTGGGTCTGGAAGGTAGTTGCAAGAACCAGCACGGAGACGAGCCTTGTGCTTGTTGTCATATTTATTCTCGGCAGCGCTGCATTAAAGTACTAGAGTGTGTCCATTCTTATTGTTATTCCCTCGCTTGCATCACAAGTTCTTTCCAAACGACCCAGGCACTGAAGACAACATATTTATGCATCTGATAAGGTTTCCAGACAAACCATACACTCGGCGGAAGGGGGAAGGACCAAGAGGTTTTCTTTCGGGGGCTGCTGTTGCGGTTGCTGGTGTTGGACTTGGACCTGCTGTTGCAAAGCAGAGGATAACGTTGTACTACTTGCACAAGAACTTCCTGGAACAACCGCAGCAACTACCTGACCACCCACTGCACCCGCGTATTCGGGGTGTGGGTGCCGGAGCGGGGGGATGTCGATGTGGTCGCCAGACGAAGTTGTGTGATCATGAAAATTGTAGTTGCTAGAAGTATTTTCGCCCCGCCCGTCGCAACCAGCATCTCCCTCCTCGTCTTCGAAGCCGGTTAAGGTCATGTTGACCTGATAATTAATAGCTCCACCTGCATCTTGTTCTGAAGAATTTCTATTTGCGGTAGTTTCCTGCAGGAGTTCATCTTGTTCCGCATTTGATGTTACCACTAGGTCTTGTTGCACCCTCATCTCGTCCACTTGTTCTCGTGGCGAACAACAAGATGAGGTTGCCGAGGAGGATCCAATAGTACCTCCCACGACGTGATGCTGTCCCCAAACGACGGCACCACTGCTTCCAGTCGCTGCCAGAGCTCCTGCCGGCGAGGTTGAACTTGGTAGAGAGATGCTCTGCGAAGACGAACAGGGTGGTACACCGCCTCCCGCACTGTTGATGTTTTGCTGTCCTGCTCCGCCGGCAGTCGTGGCACTACTGCTGCTAAGCAGCTGCGGAAACAGGTCTAAGAAAGGCGAATATTGAAGAAAAAAACTGTGTAAGTGTAACTTTCTTGGAGGAATAGCGTCACAAGTTTGCTCTGCATGACAGAGAAAACCTGTCATGCGTACCTAGTAAGTGAAAAGACGACGTACGAAAAGAGCCACTGATGCATGTCCAGCATGACAGTCGTAAGTGTCTTGCATCGTCTGCAACAAAAAATTACACTGACACAGTTTTTTTCTTGCATAGCGAACTAGTGACGTTCACTCTTGGGGATTTCATGTAACTCATCAGCAGCTGCGGGTCAGTGGGTGGTGCTGGGGCTGGCGACGCTGCGGAGGAAATTCGGTTCTGGCTTACCATCACCGTCGCTTCGAACACGTAGTGGAGGCTGGGCATTTCCCACTTTGAAGTAGCACGAGAATTATCCATTGTTATATCGTGGCCGTAGTTGTAGTTCCTGTCGCTATCTAGTAACCGCCCTACCGCTCTAGTACCACCGCCTGCTGCAATTTGCTGGTGGTGTAAAAATGGAGGTCCAGCCGCACCTCCCGCTGTTCCAAAATACGGCTTCTTCCTGTACTCGCGCAACAGCAGGTTGGCCTGTCTCGGGGTGATTTCCGGTCGCAGTGCCATCAGAAGCATGTAGTACTGGGGCTTCTTCCCGTGTAGTACCCTTGTGAATTGGAACACGTTGGTGCGCATGTGCATTATCAAATGCAAATATGTCTGAGTCCGGAAACTTATGATGCAAATCTGCGAATTGTGGGCGCACTGCAATATGCAGCCCAGCATGAAAAGTTTTTGCGCTGCTGTGTGTTTCGTTTTTCGCATGACAAGCTGCGTTTTTGCATGAGAGGCAAGAGGCCCAAATTTTCCTGCGCCTGCATCACAGACTTCAGACTCATGCCGCACAAGCATGACAAACCTGCATTCTTCCAGACCCAGACATATAATTTGCAGTTGATATGCATCCATTTGGTGCAAAACTCCGACGGGGTGAGCACGTTCGGCACGTTGGAGCATAACAGCACCAGGCTGTTACTCGTATGGCGTTCTCAAACGTGACATTCTGAACTGTTACATAAATTTGTGATGCAAGAACCGCAACAGTGAAAGGGGCAAGCTTGCAACTCTCGCATCACAACTCCGGCACAGATTTAGGCGCTGTTTAGCCCTTCGGGGATTTGTCATGCCAGGTGGCTTGATTGTCTGGTGGTTCATGGTAGTTTTGCACGACAAATTCATGTCACAGTTGAGAATGTAACGTTTGAGAATCCCATAACTCGGGTTGTTCGGGTTTATCAACCCTGGCGGGGGTTTATGAAAGTGCACAATTCCCCCCCCTCATTTGTCATGCAAAATTCCAAATCCACCCCTTGCCTGTTAGCACTGTTTGCATGACAGATGCCGGCATCCAAAACAGCACTATAATCCACTAGGAATTTGTCATGCAAAAGCTGTATCTTATCCAGCGCTTGTGTTGCTGTTCATGCAACACAAATAAGGGGGAGGGGGAGTTGTGCACTCTCATAGGGCTTCACCGCCCCGATCTTCTCCACAATCAGCTGCTTGCTCCTCGTCCCGGCATCTTCGGGAAGATTGTCGAACAAATCTTCGCTGTGAAGCTTTGGAAAAGTTTCGTCCTCCACCCACTCCTTACACTTCAGGACCCCCTCCACCAGCGCGACCGCGGGGTTTCCCGACCAGTAGTCGATGAGCTCGACGGTGTTTTTTGCGGCCATTATCGTATGAAAAAAGTGCTTCACTGTAAGGGTTTTGCAAGTTTTGCACCACAAGTTTGTTCTACATCACAGGGAAAATTTGCCATGCGAGATTCCTACGGGAAAACACAGCTAAACAGCCATTGTCTTGTAGCAAGAGAAACAGTTCTCATTCATATACATTTTCTGCATTACAAGTTTCCAGTGAAATAGTTTTTTCTTGCGATAGCCATCACTTGATGTTTAACACAACTTCTCAGTGGCGGATTCGGGGCTTTCGTCTTGGGCGGTGGGGGCCTGCAGCTGGAGGAGGACGAGGAGGCTGCATTCATCTTGCCGGACGATGTTGCCGTTGTGTAGACGCTGTTGCCGGCAGAAGGGTTATTTAAGTGTTGCGGGTGGAGCGGCACGCCGGAGGTCGACCCAGTGCTACTGGTCGAAGACTTTGAAGATGACCCGGCTCTCGTCCATTTATTTTCAAAAAAAAATATTGTAGATCATGGCAGAAAAATTAGACATGAGCTCATACATGCTTTCGCTTATTTTTTCTACAGCCAGGGTCAGGGAGTTCTGCAGCTCTACGACAAAAACTTATCGAGCTACAAGAGGAGGTGAGCAGGAGGACAACGACAGGGATGTTGACCGCAGCTAATATTCTTGGATACTTAAGAGAAACTAACATTCGCCCCCCCCGAGTGAGTATGCCCATCCATGCCAACTGTTGTGGTGCTGTCCTGTGGCCTTACTCCGCAAAATGAAAAGTGAAAATATGGGTTCATCCATTTTCGTGAAAAGCTACAAAAAAGTCGCGAGTCACTGCTGTCGCAAAGTAGATGAAGCGAGGAGGTCCAAGTAGCCGCTCCTCCGTTCGTAGGAATAAAAGGTTAAGGTAGTGCTTGTTGGCACGTGGTGAAGACATGTGTGAACTTCTACGAGGCCTGGTTTGGGGGTCAACATGCGAGGAAGCAAAATTATTAAAATGCAATTTGCGTGAAAATGAACCGGAAAAAGAAGGCAAAGAGCAAAAAAAACCGTCTCCGAGCGGGCCCCGCCAGTGTGGTCCTGGGGTAGAAATGAAAATGATGCGAGCAATTTTATTTGTAAGGGGTTCTTGGTAACCGTAACTTTTCTGCTCGGCCAGGCGCGACTTCCAGTATCAATATGTGGTCTTTTTCTTACCAACACATTCTAGTCCCTGAAGTTATTGCAGCTTCAAAGAGGCCGCACGCAGAATGAATCTGCTAGGTCGTGGTGGCTTTCGCCGATTATTATGTACAGTTGATGCTGAATAGCAAAAGCAAACGTAGTTGTTTCGGAAATTTCATCTTTCAATTCCTAGTTGCAAAAGCTGCTGTCGTCAGGCTGCGCTAATGCAACAAGTGTCGTGATCGTGTTTGATCTTCCATGTTCTTTTCAATATCTTCTGTACAGGACAGCGCTAAATAATACAACGCGACAGCGCGAAAGTTTTGCCAACAAATCAACGACCACTTGCGACAACAAAAACTGACAACTATCGCGAAGTTTGTTGTTGTAAAAATGGATCGAGATTCTGTCATTTTCATTTAAGAAAAGTCCGAAGTTATAAGTTGTCAAATTGAATCAAAAATCAAGTCGGTGTCATAACACGTATTTTACAGTTGTAAACTCGTCTTCAAAGCGAGGAGTCGTGTGCGCAAGTCAATATTTCAAATTCAAAGTCAAACTGGTTGCAAAGTCAATAAAAACAAGGTGATGATACAGAGCATCAAAAAATATCTGCGAAACAAAACAAGGCAAGCTACAGTGTTAGTTTGTGAAACAACTCAAAGACAAATTTAGCATAACAAATTACATAAAAAAATGCAAAGACAAGCTAGTAGATACTCAAACAAACAAACAAACAAACTTTCGTGGACAGGTTCATGTGAATAATCTTCTGTGAAAACTACAATTCAAAAAGCAATGAAAACAAGGTGGTAACAAGCGAAGTAGCAGTAGCACTCGCACTACTAGAAACATTAGTACAGCTTCAAACATAGTGTATGCTTTGGACAAACACGATCTAGAAGAGGACTTCAAATAATTCTTTGAGCGTTTAGTGTCTGTTGTATCGTCGTATTTCCTTTGCTTGAAGTACATTCAGACCAATCTCAACGACGTGCAACGCAAACTACAGTCACGTTGCAGCTTCTCCATGACAAAAATCGCCTCGATAATTCTCGCCCGAAGATTTTTTTTACCAAGGGTGGTGCTTTCCATCATCCATGACTAGTTTTCCGTGTGGTATGCAGGCGTAAAAATTCTCGTGGTCTAGTACTTCTTGCTGCTGCATGCAACAAGACACATTTTATTGATTTTTTATTACAACATGAACTACACTTCTTTGTAAAAAACGTACCGAGGCAGCATGACAGATCTTTTTCTTCTACTTGACGCCTCTACTTCTCGAATCTCGCTCTTACGTTCTTCACTTTAAAACACAAGCTCAGGCAAGAAAAGTACAGCAGTGGCTGCAGCATCAAACAAGAAGACCTACCTATATTTATTCTCGTCACCAAACATAAAATTTTCGGGAATCGGGTAGACGTCATGCACGAACCCGCCGGCCCGGACCTATGAACTGCAAAACAAAGTGTCTGGGTCTGGAAACTTGCGATGCTAAAATGTGACTGGTGGGCGGACGGGACTGCAATACGCAGCCACGCATGACAAATTTTTCAACTACTACTGTGGTTCGTTTTCCGCATGGCAAACTGCGTTTTTGCATGACAGGCAGGCGGCCATTTTCCAGCTCAGGCATTACAGATTTATGAGTCATGCCAGACAAGCATGACAAACTTGCATTCTTCCAGACCCAGACTTATTTCCATTTGATAGCACCGCAGTCGCCGCAATTTTTGCCGGGGAGTTTGCATTCGGATAGTAGCTCGGTTTATTCATACTGCTGCTGTTGTTATTTCCCGCCTTGTTCCCACCTGCCAACATATTCGGCGTGCTCTTCGCCCGGTCGTTGGGCTTATTTTTCGTTTGCTTCATGTTACTCGCGGCACTCTGAAAATGACCACGGGGCTCAACATCTCCGCGACCTCCTAAGCTTCCAGGGGAAAAATACGAGCCGCCTGCTCCCAGCATGGCGGGCGCGTGCACTGGTTCCTTGTGCATCACCGTGTTTACTTTCGCGGGCGTCACCTTGGTAATCAGGTTGTAGTGCTGCACGATCGCCCGGGAATTGATACCATTTCCGCTTGGGTCGTAGTTCATCCCGGCAGTGCTGGTCGCCTGAGTGTACCCCGTGTTCAGCCTGCTGTTGTTATCGATAGAGGAGATCTGCGTATTGTCCAAATTGCTGGTCCTCTTACTCTATGCATGGCAAAAGTATCGTAATCGCATAAATGCATTACAAGTTTCCTCAGCATGAGAAATCAAATTTGTAATGCGGATTTACCTCGACAAAAAGATTTGTAATGCATGACTGCAATACGAGTGCGATACTTTTGCAATGGATATACTCCGACTCGACGCCCGGCTCGAATTCGGGATGGAATAGTTCATCTGATAGTTGTTATGTGTAGTTCCACCTCCTGCTGTCCCCGCCGTCGCAGAAAGACTCCGCTGGTGTTCCACCAAATTTGTGGGCTGCGGGGGCGGTGGTGGGGAAGGTTGCGGCAGTGTCCCCCGCACCGGCGCATTCGCGACTGTTTGCACAATGGTTTTGTCGGTCAGCAGCTTGTTTCTTTTCGGTACTATCCTGTGCAAAAGTATCGTACTCGTATAAATAATGCGAGTCTAGCATTACAGATCTCCTTCCTTACCTGAATCTGCATGACAAATTTCATTTTTCTTCTAGGAAAGATCTGTCATGCAATTTATACTAGGACGATAGTTTTGCATTGCATAGGTACGTTCGTGTTGTATACGGAGCTACTCGCAGAGTTGTTATTGTTGTTCATTTATCAACTGTAAAAATGTCTGGGTCTGGAAACTTGTAATACTGGGCGGCGTATCATGAGGAGGCTACAAGTGCTGGCTCAGCATGACAAGTTTCTGAGCTTCTTGGTGTTGCCTATTCTGCATGACAGACTGCGTTTCTGCATGACAGAAAAATCAAAATGGGGGTCTTGGGTAATGTGCATGACAAATTTAAGAGTCATGTGAGACAAGCATGACAAGCTTGCATTCTTCCAGACCCAGACATTTTTGCAATTCATATCATTTCGTTGTGCGAAGCGCCTGACCCCCCGGTGTTTTCCAACAACGTTGGGGCCATAGAAGTGCTGTTGTGCATCATGTAGCTGGGTCGCTGACTCTGGTTGCGCGTGTTCATGCCCGAGCTCTGGCTGCGCAGACTACCGGCGTTGGTCTCCAGAATGAGACTGTTTTTCCCCGCGGAACTGCGGACGGAGGAGTAGTCGGAGTTGCGAACGTTGTTCAGCTATCCTACGCAAAAGCATCGCGCTCGTAGTCGTAGGTACAGGTAGTAGAAGTTGCAGTCATACATTACAAATCTCCCTTTTCAGGTGAATCAGCATTACAAATTCCTTTTTTCCTTTTGGAAATAAAATTTGTGATGCAATTTATACTAGAACGCTACTTTTGCAATGCATATCAGCACGCTCGAATTGTTGCTGTTTTTCGAACTCCGGGACTTGTTATTCCCCCGTGCGTTCTTTCCATTCCCGTGGCCACCATCACTACTATTACCACCTGCACCGGATGTGGAATGCTTTTCTTGCTTGTGGTAGATGCTCAGCGTGGTGTTTTTCAGTTGGTCATTTTGCGTTTTGTCCAGCACGCTATTGCTGTTAGACATGGTGGAGTGGAGCGAGTTGTTGGCGTTTTTCGGACTCAACTCCGAAATGGTGCCGTGTTTCATGTTCCACAGGTGGTCCTTTTTCCGTTTCTCGCGAGAGTTTTCCCGAATCGACTGCATCGAGGATTGCGTGTTCAAGTTATCAAATGCAAATATGTGTGCGTCTGGAAGGGTGTGACTGTTTGTCATGCACATTTCACATGACCCAAGACGTCTTGATGTGTGCCCTAGCATCACAGATTTTCTGAGTCCTTCTTGATGCCTATCCAGCATGAGAACTCCACTCCCCGCGTAGCAAAAAGTGGACTCCTCTTGCTGCTCAGGCAATACAGGTTTTTTATTTTTTAGAATCCAAAAGCAGCAGCACAAGTTACAACTCTTCCACAGAGACCCAGACATATTTGCATTTGATACAAGTGGTTCTCGTCCAAATCCTTGGTGTTAAACTTCATCTCGTTTTTCTTGTCGGTGATCACGTCACACTATCCGAGTGCACAACTGCCCCTGTGATAAATTGTATAAATGGCATGAACAGCAATACAAACACCAGCACAGGTGGGGCCTCGGCATGACAAATCCATCATGCTCCGACTGCGGCACTGTTGGGGCTTCCGGAACAGTTTGTCATGTCATTAGTGCCACAAGGCAGGAGCAACTGGATTGGGGAGTTTCCATGACAAACGAGGACAAGGGGGATTATTGATGCACTCTGATACAAACAACCGCCGCTGGTTCTTTTCCGGCACTCCCAGGTAGTGCTTCTTGTACAGGGGCTATGAAAGTGCACAACTCTTACCACTCCCCCTCATTTGTAAGTATGGCATCAGCAGCATTACAAACACCAGTACAGGTGGACTTTGTGCATGACAAGTTCATGCGTCGAGGAGCGTCGTACTGTTCCGATTTTCACCAGAATTTGTCATGTACAACGCGGTACCACAAGGTAGCAACTGGTTTTGGGTTTTTGCATGACAAATGAGGGGGAGGAGGAGTTGTGCACCGTCAACATAAAGGCGGAAGCGAGATTTCAGCCTTGATCTTCATTGCTGGCTGCTTATGAACTGCAAAAGTATCGTACTCGTGTCGTACTAATTGCAAACATGCATTACAAATCTTGTTCCTCAGCTAAATCAGCATGACAAATTTTATTTCTCATGCTGAGGAAATTCAAATTTGTCATGCATTTATAGGAATACGATACTTTTGCAGTTCATACTGCTTCGTGTCCGACGAATTCAGCAGTGTCGCCGGCTGGTTATGAATTGCAAAAGCATCGTACTAGCATGAATTGCATTACAAATTTCAGCATGAGGAATGGAATTTGTAGTGCTGATTGACCTTAGGAAAAAGGTTTGTAATGCATAACTGCAATTACTACGAGTACGATACTTTTGCACTGGGTACTGGTATTCGTCTTGCAAAGCGGCTTCGGGTGGCACCTGTAACGCGTCTGGAATCACCGACTCCGTGATTTTCAAGTCGGGCAGCAAATTATGAACTGTAAAAGCATCGTACTAGTATAGCTATAAATTGCATTACAAATTGACCCAGCATTACAAATTGAATTTGTAATGCTGATTTACCTTGAGAAGGAGATTTGTAATGCATAGATGCAATCACTACGAGTACGATACTTTTGCACAGGATACAAGTTCAACCCCGTGGGCTTCGGCTGCTTCGGCACGTCAGACCGCATCAGCTCCCACCATTTGCCGTCCTGGTCACTGTAGCGGGGGAAGATGCTATCGTGAGAAAAAAGTGTTACAGTTACACACTCTCACGCAAGACAAGCAAGGCAGACAACCTCTGTCATGCAGGAAACGCTTGCCAGCGTCATTTCATTCGTGTTTTCCCTTATAGTCTGCGCCGCACTACAAGTTTTCTTTTCCATGCAGAGGAAATTTGTGATGCTGAAATTAAAACAAATGAGTAACCGTAACACTTTTTTCCTGTGATAGATGCGCTCTGTGAGTTTCGTGGCATGATACGTCAAAACTAGTTGTGGTTGGTCATGAAACATGGATTGTGCATTTGGTATTTGGGGGCAAGTTCTACTACCCGTGAAAATTTTTTAAAGACAGTTGGCGACAAGGACGAAGTCGAAGTCACAAGAAGAACCACGAAGTACTTAAAAGTTCTATGAAATGAGTATACCATGCTCCCCGAAGTAGGTTCTGTCGTACTCAATTTTGTCCCGTCGCCGCTGTTCGTGCATCAGTGTTATGGGGTTCTCAAACGTAGTTACATTGAAGATCCCTGTTCAATACATAATCTTGTGATATTGCATTTGCAATATTAAAAATGAAAGGTGCTGAAGTATAATTTGTGCGTCACCCCGAAGATCATCTTCAACGTACCACCGATCTGTCGATGTATTAACCACGTTTGAGAACGCCATAAGGGATCGCGTCTTCGTTGGTTTCCCCGGCGGGCCTTTCCGAAAGTCGTGGCAGTTTTTTTCGTAGATGGATTTCCTCGTGCGCGGGGTGATGCAGTTCTCTTCGCCGTACTTGCGCTGCTCGACCAGGTCTTCCTTCAGACAACGCTTCCGCGCCGCTTTTATTTCCGAAAACGCTGCGATCTGCGGATGGGGCTGGTACCTGATGCATTCGATAGAATGATGTCGGGTTGTCCTTACTTCTAAAAAAGGTGAAGGAAGAGCATCACTTAAAAGCGAAACCCATCGCCATCCCATCTGTTGAATCTGTAAAAGATTAACTTCATACCGGGATCCTTACGAGCACGACTTATCATGTTGAGACCGATTACTTATCAACATGCCGAGACTTAGACTTACCCGAGACCGGGGATTTTGTTTTCCCTTTCTTCGTTGACCATTGTTGGGACCGGCAGCAATCTATCGCACGAGGAGAACTGTTAACGCTAAACGAAATTTGGCATGCAACGAGAATAACGCATGCAGAAGCACACTACAGCTGTATTGCATAGCATGCATGGTAGCAAAACAAACTGTGTCATGCGTGACTGTAAGCCTTAGCTGCTGCGAAGACGACCGTGAGCGTTAACATTTTTTAAGTTTGATACAATCCTGCCCGAACCCTTGCCAACTCATGGTCCGCTTGCGCGCGCTCCCGAATGTGCTGGATAGGTGGAAGAGACTGCGTATCCTGTACAAAAGTATCGTACTCGTAGCAATTGCAGTCATGCATTTACAAATCTTTCTCCTAATGTAAATCCGCATTACAAATTTTATTTCTCATGCTTAGGAAATTTGTAATGCATTTATACGAGTACGATACTTTTGCAATTCATACTGCGACTTCCGCGATTCATCGTCGTCCAGACAGGTGGTGGATGTGTACTTTTCCACGACCCATTATGGATCTGTCAGGATTGAAATCGTCAAAGTTGAAATGATTTGCCATGCATAAAATGCAAGGCATGAAGCGCCTGGCTTGCCGGGATTGCAAGTAAGGCAGATTGTGAGCCTATTCAGGGTTTGGGATAGAGCTGCTGAAGGAGCATGACAAAAGCAGTCTTCGGCGCCCAAACAGCATGACAAATTGGATTCCGGCGCTCCGAAAATTTGTCATGCGCCGCTTGAAAATTGGGCTTCCAACTGTATGCATTTTATGCATGACAAATCATTTCAACTTTGTCGGTTTCAATCCTGACACATCCATACCCGTGGCGGGTTTTTCTCCAAATATTTGTTGTACAGTTCGTTGTTCCCGTTGCGTGCGTCCGCTACCCGGTCCATGCGCATTTCCGACTTCGAGCGGTGTTTCGGCTTCTTGTAATGTTTCGAGTTCACATCGTACCTTGGCGGGTAGCTGTCGGCTAGCTGATCCATGTTGTTATAGGTGATGATCTTCCCCGCTTTCTGCGTGGTTATCATGGTGGGGTTCGCGGCCCCCGTCGCGTCAAACCCGAATTTGAACTTGTCCAGGAATATCAACTGTAAAAATGTGTGGGTCTGGAATTTTGTGATGCAAAAAGTTGATGATAGCCGGACTGCAATACGCAGCTGCCCAGCATGAAAAATTTTCGAGCTGCAGCTGCTATCTATGCGTTGCGTTTTCCGCATGGCATGAGAAGCTGCGTTTTTGCATGACAGATAGGAGAGGCTTTTCGCGCCCCTGCATCACAGATTCTCGAGTCATGTCAGACATGCATGACAAATGTAATAATCTTCCAGACCCAGACATTTTTGCAGTTGATAAGGAAATTGTTCTCGTTCACCTCGAAGTCCGCCTTTTTCCGCTCCTCTTGGGTCAGGTACCCCTTCTTCCCCACGTCAAAATACCTATGGAAGCGTCAGGATTGAAATCGACAAAGTTGAAATGATTTGTCATGCATAAAATGCAACGCAAAAACTGTCTCTGTTGCAGAGGACGCAAGGGAGGCAGATTGTGAGCCTGTTGAGGTGTAGAAATAGAGCTGCTAAAGTAGCATGACAAAAGGCGCCGCCCTTACCCAAACAGCATGACAGACTGGATTTAGGTGCTACCCAAATTTGTCATGCGCCACTTGGAAACTGGGGGGGCATCCATTTTATGCATCACAAACTATTTCAACTTTGACGATTTCAATCCTGACGCTTCCATAATACCGACCGATGAAGTAGCCGTATGCATTGCAAAAGTATCGCCATCGTTGTACTACTGCGTACTACAAATTGCATTACAAATTTCAATTTGATGCGCAGCATGAAAAATGAAATTTCTCTTGCTGAAATCCCTATGTAACAAGGTTTGTCATGCATTCATACGAATACGAGTGCGATGCTTTTGCAGTGCGTAAGTCGCGGGGACCGACGACGCCATCCTGGTCGAAATCGTAGGACTTGACGTCCGGCACCATGTCGGCCTTCAGCTCCATTTTCATTTCCGTCCGCGTTCGGCCGCGTCGGGTTTCGTGGATCGACTGGTTTCGCGGGTTCTCGGACAGGATGCCAGCCGCCTCCAGCTGCATCTCCCCGCCCCGGCGCGGAAACTCCGTGCGTCGGTATGCATTGCAAATATGTCTGGGTCTGGAAGGTTCTGATAGTTGTGATGCACGTTTTGCATGAGCCATGATGTCTGTGATGCATGCCCTAGCAGCACAGATGTTCTGAGGGCATCTTCATGGCTATTCCGCATGCCAAATACCCTCTCCGCGTAGCAACAATCGCATTCCCTTTGCTGCTCATGCAATACAGATCTTTTTGGAATCCAAATGCAGCATCACAAGTTGCATTCTTCCAGACCCAGACATATTTGCAGTTGATAGCCGGTCATGCTGCGCGATGGCGCCGCCGGTCGGGTGTTTTACTTTCACAACCAAGTTCTTCTTTGGCTCGTCGTGACTAGATCGAGTAGAACCTCGCGGCCCACGACCCGATGGTGTGGAAGACGAGCTGGAAGATGGAAAATACTTACTCGGGGAAGTTTCGATCAGCGTCTCATTGGCCACGTTGAAACAGACGTTGGCAAGTCGACGGTCTTGTCAAATGCAAAAATGTCTGGGTCTGGAACAGTGGAACTTGTGATGCGTGTCTTGCAGTCCTGGAAAATCTGTGTTGCATGAGCAGCAAAAGAGGAGCTTGCTTTGTCATGCAAAAACGCAACTTGTGATGCGTGGTAGGCATCCGCAGGCGTCTTTTAAACTTGTCATGCCTGGCTGCCATTGCAAGCGCTTCAATCATGCTCAATTCAGCATCACAGATTTCCAGACCCAGTCCCAGACATATTTGCAATGCATAAGTCTTGGTCCGAGGTGAAGAGGTCCTTATTCTGCAACTTTTTTCGCTGTTCGCCGGAAATCTTGTACTTCGGAACTTTCCCGTCGATCAGCACGGGCTCCACGACCGGCGCAGCGTGAGATGCTGAAGACATCATGTTGTTGCTCTTGTTTTAATACTCTTTTTCGTTTTCCCCCCACCGCGCTCTACTTTTGTAATTGCTACTTTATCAGACGACTACGATGATGCTTGTTGCCTTTTCGTCTGTTCTTGTTCCCCCATTCACTTTTTTATTCTGCATTTTTATGATGCAAAAATTCTAGTAAAGCTAAACACGACTGGTTGGCGCACTAGCTTTATTTCTTAAAGCTTTAAAAATACCTTCTATTGCCTCGTAGTTCTAGTTCCTGCTATCACACGAAAAAAAAACTGCGGAAGAGAATGTAGATTCATTCAGGTTCTTCTTGGAAGCTATCTTCTACCCATGGCATAGTGATAGTCATAAACAGAGTTGCCCACGATGCTTCTGCTTCATTTTTTTATTTAATCATCACGAAGCGTTATTTTTTCGCATTTGATTTTTCTCTATTGACCGACGGTCGACGAAATCATCACGGGCAACAACGACTACGACGACGAACAATACGACTTCTGGGGTGAAGACTTCCCTTGTACCACACCACGACCCGAGCAGGCTCATCTATCTTGCTCTTCTTGCTTGTCGCGCTACAAAATTGAATTTCCGACGATGATCGAAAATAAAAATGAAGAACTTGGTGGGCACAACAATTCTGTACACGACGACGACGACCCAAAAGTATTGTTCAAATCCTCCACCAAAACGACTTCTACTTGATCTGCGATCTTCATCTTTGTTTTCACTTTTTCACGAATAAACACTAAAGCTAAACTCTTACTTCACAGGGGCGGCGAACTGACGAGGCCAGCAATTTAAGATCACTAAAAACAGTTCTGCATGTTGATCACGCCCCCCCCCCGATGAACGCAAGGCGACAAATCGATGAACCGCAACCGAGTAAGTTCTCCTGTGTCTGCTGTGCTAGTTTCTTGTTGAAGATTTACTTGTTATTTTCTACATTGTCCCTCTATTTAGGATGAGGGGGCTTCATGTTAGTGGTCGTGGTCACGTGCTTCTGCTTTCTCGTCCTATCTAGCGAGTACTTGTTGCACAACTCCTGAAAGTCCAGAAGATAGAGATGGTATCATGCAGCAACACGAGACGAGAACTAGTACATGAGTTCTACTTGATCGAGACGTCGCCCCTTGAAAAATGCAAGAAGACACGACACGAAGATGCTGAAAACGACGATAGATACTGGAGCGAACCCAGTAGAAGCACCGTCGTTTTTGGAAAACGCAGACCCCGAGCCGGTGCCCTCTACCCTGGAAATAAAATGAGACGGACGCTCGTCTCTATGGATTGAGTAGAACAGCACTCGTCACAACGAACTGCAGCAACTGCTCCATTACCTTTGCAGCAGATGCCCCACCTCTTTTCTTCTTCTTACGTATTTTTTTCAAGAAAAACTACAAGCAACACAATTGTTTGCCAAGTTGCCGGTCTTGAAGCAGGAGCTCGCACCAGCACCTTCTGTTCTTTCTTGCTGACCTTTTGTGCTGTTGGTGCGGGCGCCGGCGCGGCGAGTATCTACTTCAGTTGAGTATGAGTACGTACCATCATGAGAAACGAAATTTAAAGCCCAACAAATTTGTTGATGTTTTACGAAAATTTTTTTTGGGTCGCAATTTCCATTCTTTTGCTCTGCATCCTATCTTCTACTTCTGCCGCTTGGTCGTTCTACTACTTCTCCGTAAATAATTCTACTTCGTAGCCTCCATAGGGCGGCGCTAGCGCCGCTTGCTTTCCCGTCTTGCAAAGGAAGAGACTGGCGCTTCTGTGCAAATCCACCACGACCCGATCGTCAGCCAGGCACTGTCGTTCTTGCCAAAAAAAAAATTGGGGTAATCAAAAACGTCTACTTCTTATTCTTATTCTTTGTTTATTTCACTCGCTATTTATATCAGAAGGAAATCAGTGCTGGAAGGACTCAACAACTTCTCCAACGTGGTCGATCCGCTGAGAGACAGATTGCGATAAAGATGAAGACCATAAACAACCACAATCACAAATCGGCTAGTTTAGAAAAAAAACACTACATCGACGGAGTCGAGCGGGCGACAATTCCAGTTGAGAAAAGCGTTTTATATATTTAGTGGAATTCAAAGTGCTGCATGTGCTTGCTCGAAACTTTGGTGCCGTCGTGGTCCTCGACTCGTCGATTGAAAAAAAAGCCGTTACTTACCTCTAGCTTAGCGTCGAAAAATATAAAAAAACAACCTAACTACACTCTACTAGCAGCTCGTGGAGCTGGTTTTTCTTCTTGTGTCTGCTATTCACAAGAAGGTAGCTGAAGAGATTGAGATTTCATACCAGTATTTTAACGGTTGATGTTTATGCTCATTGTAAAAACGCTGATCAACATGTCTACTGAGACGAGGAGCTAAAAAGGATCTACTATGTTCTATACGTGGGTTCTTCTTCTTCTTTTATCAGCGCCAAGCGCTCACCTTCACCCAGGCTGCGCTGCCTTGGCTGCACTCGAGTTTCAGTGCCGCGATTTGGAGCCCGTCTTCGCGCACTCCCAGGTTCAGCAAAACGATGTCCGAGGTCACAAAACGGTGCTCATACTTGGTCAGAGGGAGCCAGGTGCTCCAAGTTGCCCCCCCTCCACTCCCAGTGTGCGCTGCAAAGCTTGCATCTACCGCACGCTCCTTCGGTCCTTCTGTTCTCCCCGAGAACCAGTAGAAAAGAGAGTCATCCCCGGACGCCGAGTTGCAGCTCCCCAAAACTTATGCACTTCGCAAAACTATCGCACCTACTAGTTGTACAAATCGCATGACAAATAATTTGCTCAGGGCGAGCAACGCACATTTGTAATGTGGATGACGACGAGTAAGTACAAACTTTTTGCGCAGGATATTGCCGCACACTCGGCCGTGTCCCCCACCGTGATACCAGTTTTATCAAAATGAAAATCCACCCTCCCCAGCATATCAAAGCTGAAATCTGTGACGCGGGCACATTTGTCTTGCAGGAGAGCACTGCACGCAGATTGCAAGCCTAAGGGGGGGGCCTTTTGGTGTAGGGGCCTGGCATGGCAGACGTATGCCCTGTAGGCCTTGCAGCATTACAAACCGCCTGCATATCGTGGCGGACTCTCTGGATTTGCCTTCTGGGAAGACAGACAGGATTTGTGGCCACAAATCTGCATCACAAATTTTTGGAAGGAGAAGGACATGTTTTCAATATGATGGGGAGGGGGGATTTTTCCTTGCAATAAGTTTGCGACGGATACTCCATGCGCACTTTCATGTGAACGGCACAGAGCACATCTTGCCAAGCAGTGTCGGACGACACGGCTATGCTGAGTAAAAACGTCGCCACCCCAGAGTTGTGATGCAAATCTGCATACCAAAAAAGTTTCTCACGCGGACCCCCATGAGAAGCGTTTTCTAGTCGTGTTTTGGACTTTGTGATGCTAGAATCAGCATGATGCGCTAGATCAGTGACGCTGCTGAACTAGCGAAAAAGGATCACACTATGAGGGCAAACTTGTCATGCGAAGCAATGAAAAGTGGTTGATTTGTCTAGCAGATTTCCCATCTTGACTCTGGTGTGGGGACGTTCTTCCTCAGGATAACGGCTGGGATTTCTTCTTCGTCCGCGTCGTAATTGAGTGAGCGATATGCATTGCAAATGTCCCTGGATGTTGTCTGGAAACTTGTGATGCTGGGTGGCGTATCATGAGCAGGAGGCCACAAGTGCTGGCTCAGCATGGCAAGTTTCTGAGCTTCTAGGTTGTGTTGCCTATTCTGCATGACAAGCTCCGTAGTTTCTGCACGACAGAAAAGCGGAGCTCTTCCTCTTGAGTACTTCTAACGTGCATGACAGATTTAAGAGTCATGCCAGACAAGCATGACAAACATGCATAGACCCAGACAAATTTTCGCTTGATAACCGATGGTAGCTGGTAACTTTCGTCTTTCCACTGGAAAAGGGTTTGATCCAAAAGGACGCAACGCCCATGCTATGGCGTTTTCAAACGTTACTACACTCTCAACTGTTACATGAGTTTGTCATCATGCTGCACAATTGCAATACATATCTACATGATCAAGCTGCTTCGCATGACAAGTCCACGAAGCACTAGATAGCATGATAATCTGCGCGGCAAAACTTGTAATGCAAAAGGCGCAATCTTCCGGTTCCGCCTTGCACTTTTGCCATTCTTGCATTACAAATTGTTCACGTAGCAGTTCAGAATGTAACGTTTGAGAACGCCGTACATGCTGCTAGCAACGTATCAAATGAAAAAATGTCTGGGTCTGGAACATTCTAAACTTGTGATGCTGTCTCTGGATTCTGAAAAAATTTGTATTGCATGACCAGCAAAAAAGGGGATGCAATTTTGGCTACGCGGCGAGGGCATTTGTCATGCGGAAAAGGTATCGCGGCGAAGCCCTCAAAAAGTCTGTGATGCTAGGGCATGCATCACCGACATAGTGCTGGCCCATGCAAAACGTGCATGACAAGTTTCAGAATCTTCCAGACCCAGACATTTTTGCATTTGATACAACCTGTGGTCCCGCATTTATAACCTTTATTTGGTATCCTATTTAAAAGCGTCCTGCCATGCAGATTTGCATACAGAAAAATCTGTAACTAATGTACATCCGCAAGAGGGGAATTCGTACTTAGTCGTGTTATGGGATTTGTAATGCTGATGTAAACAGGATGAGCAGGCGTCTCTGTGATGCAGCTGAAGCTGTCCTTCCTAAACAGCACTACACTACAGATGGAAACTTGGACTTGCCATGCACAACTCCCAAAACATGGAGATTTGTGTTGCAGATTTACCAAAATAACAACTTGACTATGGGGTGGGTACGTTTTTACTCAGGATACTTGGTTAGCCGCGTTCAACACGGTGAGGTACTCGCTGTAGGTCTATCGTGTGCAAAAGTATCGCACTTCTACTCGTATAAATGCAAGTCTTGCATTGCAAATCTTTTTCTTAAGGCAAGTCCGCATTACACATTTTATTTCTCGCGCTGCGGAAATTTCTAATGCAATTTATACTAGTACGAGGATACTTTTGCAGTTCATAAGGTCCCCGCCTCTGCGTCTGTCTGATATGTGCTATCACATGCAAAAATGTCTGGGTCTGGAAAATTGGAACTTGTAATGCTGGTCTTACATTTTTCCTGTGAAATCTGTATTGCGTGTGTGACCAACAGAAGTGGCAGCCTCTCGTCACGTCATACAAAAACGCAGCTTCCCATGCGGAGTTCGTATCATGAGAAAGCGTTCTGCAAATTTGTCATGCGTTCCAGCAGCATAAGGAAGTCTTTTGCTTTTCATCATGCACACTTTAGCATCACGAAGTTCCAGATCCAGATGACATGGTTGCAGTTGATACGTGCCGGCAGTGACCATCTGCCACTGAGGAAACGCGGGCCAACCGCGGGAAACCAACGCGCATGGAGAGCAAAAAAGGTTACAGTTATGCACTGTGATGTAAAACTAGCAAGACAGCAGGCAACCTCTGTCATGCCGGAAACGCTTCTTGCGAGAATCGTTTCATACTCATAGTTGTACATGCTTTCCCTTATAATTTCTGCATTGCAACTTTTGTCTGAAATGAAGCTGAAGAGCAACAAGTTTGTCGTGCTGAAGTTACTACAAATAGTTAGTGTGTAACTGTAAAACTTTTTTCTTTGGATAACGCGTCGCCCACTTTTACCTCCTCCTATCCAGAAAAAAACACCCATCCCCATCCAATTTGTCATGCAAAACATGCGTCAAAAGCAGTGTTTGTCATGCAAAAGATGGATGGGGATGGGTGTTTTTTCCTGGATACCTCCCCCGCGTTGGCCAAAATCTCATAGTGGTCACAGTAGCAGATGGGCCGGTCGTATGAAAGAAAAATAAAACTGAGCTACTAGTGTAGCTTCCTTTGGCTGACAGCATCACAAATTTACTCCCCATGACAGAGAAAACCTGTCATGCATATTCTTGTAAGGGATAACACAGAGGGAAAGAGGACTTCGTGGTTGTCTGGCATGACAAGTGTAACTGTTCTGCATTTTCTGCATCACAGACTTACACGACTTCTTACACAGTTTTTTTCTTGCATAGGTCGTGCTTTGGGTAGGCAGGTTTCGCGGAGCACACCATGCCGTGATCGTAGTTGGGATTCACATAAATGAACGCCTGCTTGTACTCCGCGGGCCAGTTGGCCGGGCCAGTCCCCCCGGTGACCATCAACTCCGGCACGCCGTCAAATTCATTTCGGACCGCTCCTTTGAACCAGAAGCGGCTTCCGAAGTTGATGGGCCCCAGTGTGTCGATGTGAATCTTCTCGATGCACACTCCCCAGGTGGACAAGTCGCTCACTGACGTCGTGACCACGTAAACAGTGACGCGAGAGATCGAGCCGGCCAGGCCCGTGGCCGTTTGGGTGTAAGCCGCATTGTCATTCACGAGCGAAAAAGACAGGATGTGCTCGGTGGCGGTTCCGCTCCCGGTAGCTGTGCGCTCGAACAGCTTCACTTTCAGGGAGGCCACACCTCCATCGCCCGCGCCCGCAATATCGCAGGTTGTGACGGTGACTTCCATATGCTGTGCAAAAGTACTAACGTACTCGTACTCGTAGTAATTGCAGATAGGCATGACAAATCTTCCTCCTAAGGTAAAACAGCATTACAAATCCCACTTTTGTTCTTGCAAAAAATTATTTGTAATGCAATTTATACTAGTACGTTAACGTTACTGTTGCAATGCATATTCCACGTTTTCGGTTGCCAGGGGGACCGTGCCGTCCGTGCGGATGTGTCTTATCACCAGTAAATCTCCCGTACAAATGCAGTCTCTGCATGACAAAACTTGCCTTCAATCCTAGTCCAGCATGACAAGTTGGACTCTGCAAGGTAGCGAAATTTGTCATGCATTTTGTACATCATGTACAGGAAATTTACATTGCGTATGTCTCCCGATCACATTATTGGCGGCCGAAGTGTAGTACGAGCACGTCCCGGGCCAAGAAAGTGCCGGCACGCCGGGGTAGTTGCGCGCGCTTGAGTGGTTGTTCGACCCTCGATCGGGATTGTTCGCCGCGGTGGCGTACGCACTGCAAACATGTCTGGGCCTGGGAGGTTGCCACTTGTCATGCTAAATCTGAATGATGCAAAAAATCTGTGTTGCATGAGTGCCAAAAGCTGTCCACTTTCGACCGAGTTGGGAGGGGATTTCTCATGCAGGATGGGCATGGTAGAGATCCCACAGAGTCTGTGATGCTAGGTCCCGCATTCCAGACCTCGCGGGTCATGGAAAAGCTGCATGACAAGTTTGCACTCTGCCAGACCCAGACACTTTTGCATTTGATACGGCGCACCCGGTTTGCAGGCCGTGCGATAAGCTTCCATCGCTCCCTATCCTGTGCAAAAGTATCGTGCTCGTATTGCACTCATGCATAATTACAAATCTTTTTCTTAACCTTAATCAGCATTACAAATTTTATTTCTCACGCTGAAGAAATTTGTAATGCATTTATACGAGTACGATACTTCTGCAGTTCATACTCCCGACCTCGATCTTCTCGCCGAGAGCCTCAGCCAGGGCCAGGTCGACTTTCTCCACCGACGTCAGCTTCAGAAGCTCCTTCGCGTTGCACACCCGATTTCCGCTCTTCGCGCAGGTGAGCTCGTATGGATTGCAAAACTATCTGGGTCTGAAAGAATGCAGGAGCAGGAGTTTGTCATGCAGATTTTGCATTACCCATGAGGTCTGTGATGCATGCCCGAGCATCAGAGATTTTTCGAGGGCTTTCTGATGCTCATACCGCATGAGAAACGCCCTCGCCCTCTCCGCGTACCGAAAATTACTACACCTCGACCTCTTGTTTTGCTGTCCATGCAATACAGATTTTATGTAGATTCCAAGAGTAGCATCACAAGTTGTATCCTTCCAGACCCACAGACATATTTGCATTTGATAGCTCGCAGCTTTCGCCCAATTCCGCGAGCACCCAGTTCTTTATCCTGTGCAAAAGTATCGCACTCGTATAAATGCTAATGCAAGTCTTGCATTACAAACCTTGTTCTCAAGGCAGATTAGCATTACAAATTTTATTTCTCATGCTGAGGAAATTTGTAATGCATCTATACGAGTACGATACTTTTGCAGTGCATATTCTTCGCATAGGACCGATACTTGGACACATACCGGGGATTGCTGTCCTGCCGATACTGATTGGACATAATCGTGCTCCGCGCCAGCAGATTGTGCTCCGCCTTGAGGTATCAAACGCAAAAGTGTCTGGGTCTGCAATGTTGCCGGGTTCGTCATGCATATTTTGCATCATGACTCAGGATGTCTGTAATGCACGACCTAGCATCACAGATTTTTAGAGGTGGGCTTCCTGATGCCTACTCCGCTGCATGACAAATGCCCTCCCCGCGTAGCACAAACTAGACTCCTCTTGCTGGTCATGCAGTACAGATTCTTTTGGAGTCCAAAGTTAGCATCACAAGTTCCAACCTTTCAGACCCAGAAATTTTTGCATTTGATATGAGGGTTGGGTCCAGTTTCCGGGTCAGCAAAGAGTCCACGGTAACGCGCTCGGTGGTCACTGCATTTATGGATTGTAAAAATGTCTGGGTCTGGAAAAATGCAAGTTTGTCATGCTCGTCTGGCATGACCAAAAAGTTTGTGATGCGTGTCCAAGAAGAGACCCTTTTGCCTGTCATGTTGGGAAACTAAGGGCAGCAGGGCGTCCCTTTGTAAATTAAGGCTGCAAACTTTTAACCGTCATCATCGACGTCATCGTGAGGTACCGCGCAAGCACGAATACTGGCGGAGTGGTGACGACCGAAAGGGTCAGGAGACTCACCTTTTTCGCGAGAAAGAAGACTGCTGAACCCGCGCTCGAAACTTCGGCGGGCCGACACAAGTGCCGGTCTTGTAATGTAGAGCAATCAAAAATCTAACGTCCTTATGTTCGCTGTTGTTAAGCTTCTGCCGGTGATCGCAGCACCTGGAGCCCGCACGAACTGAAAGAGTAGCGCGCAGCTAAGGACTAACTAGACTCGAACGCCTCTGACCACCACAAGCGGCGACCGTCTATATAATTACTCCCCGAGCTGCGGTCAGGCGCCAGTAAGTGATTTAGCGAAGAAGCACGACGATGCTGCTACTTACCCGGATTAGCAGACCGGGCCAGGGACTAAACCAGGACTTTAACCGTGGTGGTCCTCGTGGTGGCGCCGTGCGAGCACGAACGCGGGCGGAGTGGTGACGACCGGAAGGGTCAGGAGACTCACCTTTTTGTTTTTCGCGAGAAAGAAGACTGCTAAACCCGCGCGCGAAACTTCGGCGGGCCGACACAAAAAGCGCCGGTCTACCCGGTAAACTCCAAGCCAGACCGCGTACCCGGTAAACTCCAAGCCAGAAAATTGAACTGCGCGACTTCTACCGAGAGACAGCAACCGAGACTCCTGGGAGTGCTACGATGTGAGTTCTGTTGTTATCTGAGTAGAATTAGCACTGTGCAAGATTCGTGTCTTAGCACCGAGGGAACAGAAAAGAAAAGTAAAAAAGGGCGTGAAGAAACTAATTATGACACAGTCCCACCTACCGAACGAACCATCCTAAAGGTGGCATCTCGAATTTCTAGCAGGAAAGAAAGCAGCGGTTTGGGAAATGGAGTTGCGATCGTGGCGCCAACGTCCAAGTCCAGGGACCAACATGCAAATAGCCAGGAGAACAATGAGGTTGGTACGTCCAGCATGACAAACACGACGCCCAAGTAAAAAGTGCCACGAGATCAAAGCAGAGCATGACCAAACTGAGAAATCGCATGACAATTTGGCCAAGCTGCAACAAATTCGAGAACCAGGATGGAAATAATGCCCATGACCATCGTAATGGTCACGAAGTGAAAGCCCCTAGGAAAAGAGTAAATAGCACATAAATCTAGGTAAAAGACTAAAAATATCGCGCGTGTGTAAAACTAGACCGGTCAAAAACCACTTCTGCCTGTGCCGTCTCTATTCTATTTTCCCTTTTGCCTGTCATGCAAAAACGCAGTTTGTCATGCGAAAAACGCAACACAAAGAAGCGCAGATATTTCTCATGCTTGGCTGTGCATTACAGAGCATTCACTATTTTATTTCCCGACGCAGCATTACAAGTTTCCAGAGGACCCAGACATATTTGCATTTGATAGCATTATGTGGCCACCCATGGTCGGTTTTGGTCACGTCGGGCAGAAACAGTGTTCGCGCCGCGGAGGACAAATTCTCCGAAGTGTCATAGGACACCTTGGCGGCGTTAGGCTTTTTGCAGTAGCACAGCGCCTATCCTGTGCAAAAGTATCGCACTCGTAGTAATCTTCGCAAGCATGCATTTACAAATCGAAATCTCCATCCCAAGGCAAAACTACAGCATGACAAATTGCATTTGTCATGCTGACCGAATTTGTAATGCGATTTCTACTAACTAGTACGATGCTTTTGCAAAGCATAGCGCCATGTGTGTGTCGAACATGCTCCAGCAGCTCGCAGTGGTGGAGGTGGCGGAGTTCCTGGAGACGGTACTGCTCCCGTGTAGGCTCGTATGAGACTGCACCACACCACCTCCTCCCCCTCATTTGTAAGTATAGAAGCGTGAACAGCAATACAAACACCAGCACACGTGTATGCTGTGCATGACAAGTTTTTGCACGGACGATTGTAGTGCTATTTGGACTCCCAGAATTTGTCATGTTGGGAAACTAAGGGCAGGGTGTCCCTTTGTAAATTACGTCGACAAACTCTTAACCTGAGGTCCTGAGGTGGGTGACGCGCCCGAGGGCACAGACACCGGCGGAGTGGTGACGACCGAAAGGGTCAGGAGACTCACCTTTTTCGCGAGAAAGAAGACTGCTGAACCCGCGCGCGAAACTTCGGCGGGCCGACACAAGTGCCGGTCTTGTAATGTAGAGCAATCAAAAATCTAACGTCC